TGTGCAGCTGAAAAACAAAAATAAAAAAAAAGATACTTCTGATGGGTGTACCACTGTTTTAAGAGGGAAGTTTAAAGGGGAAATAAAAGAGTAATTTAATTTATGTCTGTGCGCAAAGACTTTACTTACATGCTTTCCCCTTACTTCCGAGATAACCTAATAACTAACAAAAATTATACTAAAAATGGCCAGTTTTTCCCATTTATAAAGAAAACTACTAGGTAGATCATAAAATCTTCTAGTATACGCCTTAATGCACCAACTAGATCAAAAATGCAACAAGAAAGTCTCTATAAAGCTTTTTACTGGAGCAAGATTTCTAATAGGCAAATTATCGTTGTCGAATTAAATCGTTTATCGTCAAAAAAAAAAAAAAACCGCAGTATAGTGAAACAATAGAATACATTCCTCGCTTAGCACAGAATCTAAAAAGCTTAAACATTTTATTTAGATATTTTTGTATTTTATTTATTTATTTATTTTTTGTAAAAATTAAAATTGAAATCAAATACCTAATGATATTAGACTATTAGTACTAGACAGTAGTGTATTATTTTATTTCAATGCCAGTCCAACATCTTTCATATTTAAAGCGGTTATTGATGTTCCGACGAATTTCGTTTTAAACGAGAAAATATATATGTTCGGTTTTTTTTTTTTTTTTTTTTTAATACAGACATTAACAACAGATACGCGCACTATACTATTTATTTTCTAGATACTGTTTTATTATATATTATTATTAGTTTGTCCGACAACGTGCGTGATAACAGATTAAAATTCGAGTTCTGCATTTGTATTTTTTTCGTCAATTGATTTAGCCGATCATGAATTGTAACATTCAAGGTCTTGAGCCGAACAGAAAATATCGAACGCGTGATGGCTGTCGTGTGGGTTAAATAAAAAGTGGCCGAGATAATAATAAAAAAAAAATCAACTCGTATATTATAATACCTTTACAATACAACACATTATAATACCGTTAGCCGTTAAGTTAACAAAGTTTAACACGCTCGTGTTGTTGACAAATATTCAGTTCTTTCAACTCGTTAAGTTCGAATTTATTTGCGGAAAAAACAAATATTAACTCGACTCGTTTAAATAAAGTTCATGCAGTGGATGTTTTCAACTATAACAGTGGTATCTGGGTCGCAGGTGCCTGTTCGTAACAACAACGAACAAAATAAGTTCCCTCGGGGGTTCGTCCTCTGCTCGGTAGGTAAAAAAAAAAAGAAAAAAAAAAGTACAGTGAAACCCGTGTGTAACGGACAGTCGCGGGACAGCCGAAATAAATAAACGTCCGTTGTCGACGGGCTTAATGAAAAATGACGGAAATTTCCTTGCAGTATCGATTGTCTGTTTACGTAAAATCGACACTGGCCCGCGCAGACGTCGGGCCCGTACGGCGGATCGTGCGGCCGGAAAACCGGTAACACAACGACCCCGACGGGTCGCGGTCGATTCCGACGAAACGAGCCGCTCGTTCGTAACGACATCGCCCGCGGACCGATTGCCGACCAGGACCGCCGGTGCGATTCGCGAATAATTTACGGTACACGGCCGCGGGGCGAGCGCACCACCACCCCCCCCCCCCCCCCCCCNCCCCCCCACTCCCAACCCCGCGCGGAGACGTCGCAAATCATAAATGTGTTCGTACCGACGGACGCGTTTTACACGCCCCGGGCCGCGTACGAAAATCTCCGTTCCCGGACAACGCGCTGCGGAAAATCCCCGTGAACGTTCGCGAACGCTTAGTGCGGTACGGCGGCGAGTTCTGCTGCCCGATAACTCGTCCGAGTTTCTCGAAACGAACATTCGGCCAACGCGAATGCCCGTCGCAAACGAAACAGCGCGGCGTGCAGACGGCGTACGAAAATTCGGGACGCGTTCCCACACGTGACATCCGAGATCAGACCTAGAGAACCTCCAAAATCGTTTCGGACGAGTTACAAGGTTCGCAATACAATAATAATAATAACAATCAAATCAACCGACGGCCGTAACAATGTACGGCCAGATGTGACGGACAGAGCGAGACGGGGGCGTATGTTTGTAGGAGCGGGCGACTCAGTGGTGATTTAATAGTTCGTCGCCTTGGATAAAACGTGTAGTAACGCCCGTTTTCCGTTGAAAATTAAACGCGGTCCACGATTACGCGGTGCTAGTCGACGTGCTCTCTCACAGTACCGAAAATCACCACGCCCCGATAATTCGTCAAATCCTATAAATACCCCCATTACCCTCCCCCAAGAAAAGAATGTATTTAAAAAAAATAATTCATAATTACTGTCCGGCCGTCTTATGAAACAATTCGGCAGTATCATCCTTTTCGGCTTGTCGTAAAACAGGCGGATAGGTAAATATCGTTTTCACGAAAAACGAATCGCCCCGCTAAAACTCGACTTGCCCACCAATAAATGACCCAGTAGAAAATTGCGTACAAGTTATATAAGTAAGTACTTAGACGTAATATAACATTAGTTTGAGTAAATCGAAAATGCGACAAAACGCGGTCAACACGAGTAGATGCCTGCTAATATATTATTATGCGGACTTCTGCGGTAGCCTGTTGCCCCTGTAAGTTAGTTCACCACAACATTCTGGGTGTATGTAAAAAAAAAAAAACAAAAAACCTGTTGTTTTATACATTTAGTGATTCATTTTAACGATTCGGGACCACTTGATAAATTTACATTTTTTTTTTTTTTTTTCTAACATTCCGTAACAATTGCTTAAACTCAACTCCTCAAAAATTTAACACGAGACTTTCTCGTCAAATTTGTCCTTAGATAAACCCGTTGCCGTTGGCGCAGATTCTAAAACAGCATACCGACCAATTAAACCATTAACTAAAAACCGGTACACTATGTAGATAAAACAATTTATTTACTATTTGTATTTATTTATAGCCGCTTTCAACTTAACTTAAACACTTTAAATTGACTGATTATGTATAATAAAGTGATTACAGTGATGCTGTAATATGCAAGTTTCCATTTCTGTTTACAAGACCACAGTTATTATAAGGTACTGGGCTTTTGATTACCCGGGACAAAGTACCGTTTAAAACAAGCAATCTCCTTACATCACCCGTGACAGCTTAATCAATGTACAAACCGTATAAAATAATAACCGTGTTTTAGTTACTATAGAAACATCAGCCTTTTTTTTTTTTTTTTCCTATTTGTGCTATTAAAGAAACTTATTGAAATTTTAAGTCCCTGCGCGGTGTGTATCACAATCCAATGCTGGGCACTAACCAGTTAGAAAGTTAGAAGTTACTTTTTTCAGCAACTTTTAACTTAACTAGTTGCTCTGTTTATATTGTAACTTAATAACTTAACTAGTTATATTTTTCACATAAATATTGATTAACTTAACTAGTCATTTTTAAAATAACCACTAGCTAGGTTCACCTGGTGATAAGAATAAACACGGTATCGAATTGATATTGTATTATCAGTATATGGTTTACTGATACTGATAATATCGATGATATTAATGATATATTGATCGATTATTGAGATTGGCAAGTATCACTTACATAGGTATATAACTAGTTATTTTTGTTTTTATATTATTCTAACTTAAACTAATTGGAAATTATCACTAACTTGCCCAGGGCAGGTGAGTGATGTGTCAAATATGTTTTTCACCCACAGATATGTAAAATATATTATTATTAATTGTTATACATTGTTCCTATTGATAATATGTAAATTATCCGATACTTGCAATGCATTAAAGTTAATACATCTAATATTCGATCAATTATCAATTCAATTGATATAGTATCATCAACAACTTTTGAACTTTGAAATTGGAATTTTTGGAAATTTTAGAAACTAACTTCTATCCTAACTTAATTGGTGTTTATATTAAAATAATTCGGCTTTAACTCGTTGAAAAAAATTACTAATTTTCCCAACTTTGTCACAATCACATACAACATACATGACCACTTCCATTTATTATATTCGATTATTATACGAGTAAAACCTACAAAAACATGCAATTCCCAAAGACAATGAACAATTTAATCGCAATATATTGATAAGTTTTAAATGGAAAAAATATATCAAAACAAATAATTACACAAATACCCCATTACTGCATCCAACAAAATTATTTTTAAATTCTATTCTTTTTTACAGAAAAACTATTATATTTGATATTCAACACAACCTAACATTTGAAATGTTTTCTTTAAACTTTATAAATATATATATGTATTTTTTAAAACTCTAGACAAAAATAAGAATGCATTCCATTTACTAATATGTGAATATTAGATTGTAAGCAACGATAAATATATCACATTGATTCACATAGTGAGCATTTCTTTATTTCTTCTATCTGTAAACTTTTTGTATACCAGTAATCGTGCACCGGTCAACATCATTAAAGGAGGATTCGGCAAAGAAAAAAAACAGTACCTAATTGGTATATTGGGAAAGTGATTTTTATGATTGAAGTCATTTTTCTTAAAAATTTGGGGAAAACAAGAGGAAAAAAAGAAAATGTAAGCAAACAATGGTTTCATTATTTTGTCGTAATTTCATTAGAAATAATCGCAGAGATCTGCAATTTTCACCAAATACTATAACATTTTCTAAAATTAATTCAATTGTTTTAAACATTCTTAAGCATTCTTATTAATAGCCATTTGAAATTAGCTTTTTTTTTTTTTTGGTGTTATTTGGTGTGTGAACATTATTTTTGGCTCAAAAAAAAATTCATCATAAGTTGTGATGATAAATAGTGATTAAAAAAAAAAGTTAACTGTGGTGCAGTAATTTATTTATAGTGGTTGTTAAGTTCAAATTTTTAAAATGAACTCCGCTCAGAATCGTTTTTTTGTAAGCCATGATTTATCACTGCATACAGATAAAATTTAAATGATTGTATAAATACCACCTTCCAAACTATTTTTTTCATTATAGCCTATAACGGCTCGTATAATAAATACACATAATAAATAGGTAGTGGCATTTTGTGTCATCATATTATTATAATATTATACACATATAGATGGTACACATGACATAATATATTATACCCATCATTTGAGTCTGATATCAAACATTTGATATTAAAAAAAAAAAAATAAACAAATGTATGACGAGTATAAAAAGAAAACAAAAAAAAATAAATAAATTAATAAATAGATGGAACTTATTAAATATTATAAACTGTATTGTAACAGTCACGAGATCGAAAATAAAACAAAAATAATAATAATAATAATATTAATAATAATAATAATAATAATAATAATAATAATAATAATAATAATAAAATAGTAGTACAAAACACTGAGTAAAGAGTATATAAACACAAATACATAAACAAATATAAATAATAAATTACAGCAGTTGGATTTTTTTTTTGGTATGCACAAACAACACACAGTTTGTTACTACGCTATACAGTTTACAAGAGATACTTCGATTAATAAAAATAAATTTATAATATTAGTAGTAATCATTATGTATTTGTTGTGGTAGTATTTAGTAGTAGTAAGATTGGATAGATTGGTCGCTATTAATGTCAGCGTACAATAATAACAATAATTACTAATAAGTCATATACGGGCAATATTATATAAATTAAAAAAAAAAAAAAATTGTTTTATATGCAAAGGATGAAGACAAGGAGCAAATGAAAGAAATATTGGAAATGAAACGAATTCATAATCGCTATGTTGAAAGAATGCGGGCCAGAGATCTGAGCAGCAAACTGTCATCATCGTGTGGGAAGAATGCAAACAACAACGGGGCGATTAATCTAAAAGCGAATAAATGATATTTATATAATAATAATTATTTAAGTTGACAATTATGTACAGTAATCTGTTGTATAGATACATTATTATATCAATATAATATAAATATACATAATACACAAATATTTATTTATAAAAAAAATTGGATAATTGTAGTACAGACAATTTTCATTAGTAGAAGAAAAAAAAAAAAATGTTAAAATAAATAATTATTATAATTTTTCTAAAATTAGTTTAAAAAAAAAATAACGATCATTTAATCAAATGTGTATGAATAGATTAAAGACGAAAATATCTAATTAAAACAAACGATGAAGGGAACAATTTCATTATTGTCGTGCTAATTTTTAAATTGACTATTCTTAAATATTATTAACTGGTGAATTTAGGTTAAGTTCTAGTTTTTACACAATTAAATAATTTTTTTATTCAACAGAGCACACAATTTAATATTATAGGTTCAATTTGTTTAATATAGGATTAGTTTAATTTTTTTAATTTAACTTTGCTTTAAATGAGTTTCAAACTCAAAAAGAATTGATTTTATCAGTCTCCAATTCCCAATAATCTTATAATATTAATAAAAAACGATAATGGCGTACAACATATTATGGTTAATTATACATATTTTTTCGCTCCAAATCTCTTCCTTCTATACAAAATAATAATTGATTAAATTTATAATAATAATTAATTGTGATTAATTATATTTATTAATATTATTATACTAAAAAAGTGAAAAAAAAAACACTTCCTCCGTGTTATCTTTTAAATTTATATAATTAAATATTAAATGTGTATACAAATATAATAAATACACTAATTTTTTAAAATTATTTATTATAATTTTTTTTTTATTTTTTTTTATTTTTTTTTTTTTTTATTATTTTTTTTTTTTTTAAATGTTTAAATATAACAAATTAAGAATACTGGACAAGATTATAACAAAATTATTTTATCCCTAATGAGAAGATAAACAGTAAACAACGGTAAAAACTTGGCTAATTTTTCATAACTTGGCCTATAGAAAACAATAATTCCACTATCTACATTGAAAACATAAGTAAACCGAGGAACATACATACTGTCATCACACCAAGGACGCCACATAACATTATCGCCTAATCCACGTAAATTTAGTTATATTAATAAGTATAAAAAAAAAAAAAAAATATTATATAAACAAAAACCCAAAATCAATAGCACCAACTTTTTTTTGTACACAAATAATCAAAAAAATGTCGTTCTATGATATTATAAAGACAATAAATAACACAAAAACTATATTCTAAAAAATAATAATAATAATTTTGAAAAATCCTATACAATACTAATTCTATACATTACTTTTTAAATATTAATAAATAATATTTAAATAACAATGGTAAAAAAAAAAAAAAAAAAAACTTCTATTACTATTAATGCGTATACTTCTATATTGCAAATAGTCGAGTTATAAATATAACAATATATTGCGAAAAGAAAGACAATAAAACATTGAGTTTTAACAAAAAGATTATGTACAAATAACACAAAAAGAAAAAATAACTTAAGGAAACACAATCGGTAGTAAAAATCTTTAAACATTGTAAATTTTAAAGTAAATAAGGTAGATAAGATAGGTAAACATAGTAATTAAGCTATATCATAGTTTAAATTTAACGTACAATATACGCAGAAACATTAAAATGACAATATTATTTTTAAGAAGCCTTTAATAGTATTTGTTTTATAAACTATATCTCATTTGTGGCATTTTGAGAACTATAATATTTTATTATTACTATAATTTATACATGCATTATATATTAACAGTCGTTATTTCCAATTGAGTATAATTATTAATTATATATAACATATAACGGAAAATAAAATCTGAAACAGAACGTTCTTATACGAGTTGAAGTTTCAGACTTTCATGAGAATATAATAAAAATCCAAGGGGTTGGTGGTGTAACATAAATTTATCTCTTTTTTTTTTTTTTTTTTTTTCTAACAAAGTCATGATGCTTGTTTACCAACAATAACACCAGGTCTAGAAGGTCGTACAGGACTGTTTGATGTGACAACAGTTGTAACTGGAGAAGTCTGGGAACCACTATGGAACTGGAGAAATGGATTCATTTCCACCTATAAAAAGAGAAATGTAATCATATATGATCATATTATTTCTATATTTTTTTTTTTTTTGTTTGTTTATAAATTTACTTTAAGCAATTTTTGATTGGTGGTCGCTGTGTGTTTGGTTAGCGCAAGAGGTGCTTCCTGGTGGTCATCACCAAAAAGGTGATCTCCCTCTAGGTGTCTAATCGCCTCGACGATAGTTTCCAAATTTTGTCTGGAGGTACTGGTGAGGTAAACACGAGCAGACGGCAGGACTTGCTGTTGCTGCGGAACAGGTTCTTCGGCTTCTTTCAGCCGATCATCAACAGGTTCATTGATTTCAGTCTTGATCAGCACGTTTTCTTCATCTGGTTCGCGTTGAACGACCAGATTATCAGATTCGTTCACTTCAATTATTTCCATACCAGCTTCTTCACCGACCACACACTGAAACAGATATAAAAATATTGTTTCAAATACGGTACGTGCGTGTTTCAAGTCAATCGATAAATTAATACACTTCACTAGTTTACTTACTGTGTTTGCGTTGTTGTGGTATTGAATTGTCGTCTGGGTGTTCTCCCTGGATTTTATCTCGACAAACGTTTCTCCCAAACGGGCCGCATACTCTTTCAATTGCACTTCTAGATCGACGCGCAGACTCTGCTCTCGTTCTAAATGCGCTCTTAATTCGGTTACCTCGTCGATCATTAGTCCACCGTCGTCTAAACCTACAAACACATAAAACCGTATTGCGTTACTGCAGTCGATGAACAGTCGGCACACATAAAAATATGATGGGCGCATAAACATTTAAATTATTGTCGGAGTTAACATACGATTTCTCCATTCGAATTATATTATGACGAAGAACAATCGAATTTTAAGAAACAAAAACGTACGTTGTGACATCTATCGGTTCTTACAGACGATCACGTGTCGAGTGATTAATACGGCGATAATAATAACAGGGACGATACTTCAGGACTCGGGTACTTGAATAACGAACGATAAATATTTCGGAAAAATTACAAATTGTATAGGCATTTTCGAAGGGGGAGGGGGGGTTTGTTGTTATCGACGAGTCTCGAGTACTCGGGAATTGACTAGTTTAAAGGGTACGTATAAACGCGTACATCGAGATTTTCGGTATTTGTTCCCTGCCCCTTCCTTCCCCGATGTAACGTCGAAACTTACATTTTCTCAATTTCCCGCAAAACCGTTCGGTTTCGAATATTTTCTTTATAATATCACATACCGCCAGGTACGGCGAGTAAAATATCGACAACAAACTGCAACAGCGTTCAACAGACGGAAAATCGATGGAACACGTGGTCGGCAAAGACCAAGGACATCTCGGAGGATGCGGCGTAATCGGTACGCGAGCGGTTTGGACGCGAATTCGAAAAATCGATTCAGAGCAGCCGTTTACACGGCGCGATCGCTCCGCGCTACGGTAAACGGATAAACGGTACACGCCACATCGAGACGAATAATACAATACATACAACGACGGAATAATATTATTTTCGCCATAGACTTTTACAAAGCGGAACACAAAGGCCGGACGAATTATGAAGCAATCGTTATAATATTGGCGGCGATGTCGAAACATAAAAGTCGTACGGATAAATTTGTATAATGTCGCAATATAAAAAAAAAAAACCCACCCCGAAATCGCAGTCGAACCAATATAGGTGACGGTCGCGTCTAGTTTTTAATATTTCGACATTACTACGAGCGAAACATTGGTTTGCGCGACCACTTGATTGTACTTTTGAAGGACGCGGTGATGCCGTGCCGCGATCTACCGCCGCACCGTACCGATAATCCCGAAATCGAAAAAAAAAACATAAACATAATTAATTTAGGACGGCGCTTATAAATAGGACACAGAGTTTGGAACGAGTAGTGATTAGGAATTAGTGAATTTTAAAACGATAAAAACCCATTTTTTTTTTTTTATGAAATATAATAGCACATTTTATTTTATTTTTTTCACTGTTCCAAACGAAAATAATCGACCGGGGAAAAAATGCTCGCCCACAAAAACCGCCGAATCGTCGAGTTTATCGCATGATTAAGAGGACGGGATACGCGGTACGCGTGCGTCAATCGTCGTTTTCCGCCTTGCGAACGCACGACCATAGTGATAAAAAAACGTGTTTACACACGCAGACGGCTACACAGAACTCGCTTGGTTTTTGAGTTTTACAGTAACCTATTAAAAAGAGAACGATATTCCTCCGGCGGAAAGGACCGGTCGTGTTGTTTTTTTCTCCTAATATAATAACAGGTCGATTTACCGTTTATAAACAACACGACTTTTTCAACGGATTTTTTTTTTTTAAATTTCTTAAAACTTAAGAGAAAAAAAAACCGTAACGTCCCGCCGCATCCGGAACATCGTGTTCTCTTTTTCAAAGTGCACAACGGGCGCTTTTACTCGGAAACTATGAGAGCAAGTGCTGCGCGTGTAGTCTGCGCGGCGCACCGGCCGATCGCGAATATTCCCCGGAATTCGTCGTCGCGACGACGTTCGAAAATCGCCGAGGAATAACACGCACGCGGGTAAGCGACGCGTTTCCCCCCCTCTCCCCCGTTCGTATTTCACCCGGCGAGACCGGGCGCGAACACGACAAACAATTCCCGGAGGCGGGAATAATAATAATAAAAAAACACCCGGCTATCGGATGGCCTCTAGCAGTCGCGCGTCTCTCGCGGTCCTTTCTCCCCGTCGTAAGTGCACATGTTTTACATTATCGCGCGCGCGTCGTAACAAATACAGAGAAATAATGAAATGTTATCAAACGCGCGATGGCGCACGCAACAAAGGGAGCGGATCCCACGCGGCCAAAGCGTGCGGGACACGACGTTCGCGAAACGCGTCGCGCGCACACATTGCGCGATTTCAACGTCGGCGGAACGGGGACGGAGGGGGAAAAATTACCGTGCAGGTGTTGTTTCCTTACCGCCGTCGCACCCCCCCCCCCCCCCCCCCCCCCCNCCCCCCCCCACCCACCGGCGACGTTAACGGCCGCGGGGCTAACAAACGGTATTGTTAAAACGGCGGCGGCGGCGGCGGTCAGCTCCGAGCGACGACGAAAATTATACGGGGAAACGAATCCAAACAACGGCGAGGATACGGTTGTTTTTGGTGGGGAAATGAAACAAATTATTTTTACCCGGATAAAAATGCCGAGATGATCGCCCGTTGGACGAAAATTGAATACACGATTCTAACCGCGTGCGGACAAGGGAGACGAATACACGCGAGTGTCCCACGAATATTACAACACCCGTTGCAATATCTCCGGGGGGGGAGGGGGGGTGATAATAAAGATACGATCAGTCTTACCGGCGGGGTCGTCCACTTTACGTTTCTTGTGCATGTTGGCCGTGTTTAACAGATCGCCCTCCTGTTTGCTCACCAGCCGTTTCAGCTGGCAGTTTTGCGACAGCAGTCTGGTCTTCTCTTGTTCCAACTGGTATATGTAGTCGGCGGTGTGCTGCAGTATCGCGGCCTGTCCGAACAAAACAAAAAAAAAAAACCGTTATCAATACTTGTTGCGCGAAACAAAAAACAAAAAAAACGCGCAAAACTATAAATAAAACGGAACAAGTGGGAGGCCGAAAGGCAGAGGGCACCCGATAGGGGTTTTGGTTGATTTTGTGTCTGTAAGCAGCACCGGTTGACTTATTTTCTGATCGGAGTAACAACCATTTCCGGTGGACAATTTGTCCGCGGCCAGAAAAAGTCGGCAATAATCAAAATACACTCCGTAGTACAATGAAACTATTGTACGTCATATCGTTCCGCTCGTTGAAACTTCCGTGTAAGGCCCGGGGAGAGACCCGAGGCCACCCTTGTCCCCCCCATCCCGTTTCGCGTAGACCAATAACAACGTGATTCCGTCGCGAGCAGCGCGCGTCTCGGGTCCGTTTCCGACGCCGTTCTGAAAAACGGCAGATTGGGCGTCCGCGGGACAAAAGTCAAGTGTTTTAATTTTGTTTGTTGTTGTTGTTGTTGTGTTTTTGTTTCGATACACACGCTCGTCAACGACGTGAACACTTGTCGGAGGGCCGGGGATGGGAACGAAAAACTTCAAAGACGTCCCAGAGTATTCTCGTTCGCCCTTTACACGCGTGGGAGTAATATCGGTTTTGTAAACTGTGTGCAGCCACTTTAACGTGCGCGTACGTTGTTGTATACGTGTATATAGGCTTTAGACAGAGAAAAAAAAATAAAAATAAAAATAATATACGAAATTAATTCGAGAGTCGAGAGGTAATTTCGCTTTCAACGACAAGAGCGCGTTATTGTACTCGACGTTTTCCGGTGTGCATAGATTAATATTGTGAATTATAATCGCACACAAGAGCGCGACCGTCGTATACGGTTTTCGAAGGGGTATTTGTAATATCTCGAGAGCTGCGGCGAGGGGACGTGGGGGTAGGGGTGAGGGTGGAGTTCTATCGGACATAAAAGGCCGCGCCCTATTATATCGCGTACGCGTACGTTTTCTACGCCGGTATTTTTTTTTTTTCAATAATAATAACAATACACGAGAACACGTCTCGGCACGTTTTTCGAACGCGGTTTGTTTCGATAGCCCCGCCGCAGCTGTATAAGAGTTTCGACGGAAGTTCTGAATATATTGCGGGCAAAAAAAAAAAAATTTAATAGTGGTTCTCGGCGCTGGAAAACACATAATATAGTCTCGCGTTAAAAAAAAAAACTCCCATATTTCCACTATTATAATATAGACAGAGAAAGAAAGAGAGAGACGGGCTCACATTAGTTGACGGTTTTAAATTACGCGATTTTTAAAAACGATTTTATAGTGAAATGATAGTGTCTATGTTTGCACGCATATTTTGAACGAAATACACGTAACAAAGCGCATTGGATTCAACTGCAGTGACGCGGTGGGAGGCTCCCGGGAAAATCGCGCAATATTGAAATACGCGCGAATTACGCGCGTGTGACGTACGGACGTATAATTATAGTAAGTTAGAAAAAAAAAACCGTATCAAGGGCTGACTAGAATATCGTTTATTTTCGTAAATTTAAAACACACGGTATTGTGCAATCGAATATGCGTCATTTGAACAGCGATTAATAACTCGGAACTTGGATTTGTTTTTCTAGAACCTTTTAAAAAACAAATATTATTTTAAACGTCTGTTGATTCATATTTTTCAGACGTAATATTATATATATAATTAGTTTTGCTTTTATTGCGTACGAATTCTAAGGCTGTAAATACGCAATCTCATAAACTATAAACCGCCCTCTGTTCGTCCGCTAATATAATCTTTCGAACGTTCCCGGAGTCAGGTCCGGCAATTTTCTAATTTGCCGACGGCACAATAAAATATATTATCGTTCGATTGACGCGTACACTACACGATTTGGTCGGGCCAACTGTCGGCCCGATCGAAATATCGCGTAGTGTGTAGGGGACGGGGAGGTATTACGCGTTTGTCGACTACACCGCAGAATAACCAGAAGAAAGGACACTTAATGAGAACTCGAAAACCGGAGCCGGGACGATTCGTTTTCGGCGAGCGAGAGACATCCAAGCACAGAAAATCTGTCACCGACCATACCAATAATTGTACCGAAAACCGCGTAAATTATCCGACCGCCGACATTGCGTACCCCGCGCGCTCTTATCGAGAAAACGTAGCGCGCCCAGTCGTAATAGTTTTTTTTCCCCCCTTTTTTTTTTTTTCTTTTAATTATAATCGGTTTCGCGCGATTTTATTGCCGTGACGTTAACACAGTTACCGGACGTTTCTCTATAGTTTGGCCGGATTCCAAAAAGACGAGCATCGCGTTCGTCGACCGCCCGCTGGCGTCCGGATCCAAAAAACAAATTCTAAATCCGGACGCGCGACGGACCGTTTTCGTTTTTTTATTTTCTAAAAGACGAAACGGATCCGTGTATTTCGAGCGTTTTGTTTTCGTTTTATTTACTTTTCACTCGAGATTTCGGCGGCCGTATTCGCGACCAGACCTCGCACAACGCGAAAATTATTCGGAACGCGACCGTCCGACGCGCTTAATTAACGACGACAACGACGCGCGCGGTTCGCAAAATTATCTAACCGAATCCGCCGGCGCGCGGCCGGGTCACGGACGGGGATTCCGTCATAGCGTTCGGCCGCGCGGTCACGCCGCACACGGTCGGTCGGGGCGGTGGCCGCGCACGTCGCTACGCACGATGTGCCGACCGCCGCCGGCTCCGATATCGGCGTGCCGAACCGGACACGTTTGCTGTGAACGCCGGATGGACCCGGCTAAACGCGACGCCGCCTAACCGAGCCCGGAGCCGCTAGGCGAGAAAGATTCAACGAAGTCTTCGGCGGTTGCGGAACAAAATCTCCCGGCGGAAAACCCGTCCCGCGGACGCGACGATTGTTGACCGACTGCACGGAGCGTATATTTTACAGCGCCGGCCGCCACTAAATTTTTCACGCCGCTAAATGCCGCGGTTCTCGAAATTGTAACATCTAAATACGAATAGCTCTAAAGTTAACGGTTCATATTGTTACGATACGCTAACAGCATTATTTCTCACGTCTCTACACGATCGCAGCTGTGTTGACCGAGTCGGGACGGCAAAAATAACGAAACCGTACGTTTTTCCCGTTTCCTCCGTCTCGCTCCCGTCAACAACATTATTGAAATGGGCGAATCGAGGAGAGGGGGGGGGGAAATGACCTCCTCCTCCTCCCCGGCGACGGTCTTCCGTAGTCGTTTTTTCGACCGGCACGAGTGGGTTTCCGGTAAAACGTTTTTGTTCGGCGAAAACGAAACCGATACGCACATACGTTCCGCGAAATAAAAAGCGCGCGTCATACTCAGAAACGAATGCGTTCCGCGATACGCTCAGAATCTAAATGGGCGGAAAAAAAAAATAGTAAAATAACCGTAGCTTGCGAATTATTATCCGCGATATGACGTGTCGCGTAATAATTCTCGTATAATACGTAAAATTTGCCTATACGCATTCCGCGTTCGTGACCGATTGGCGGTTGAAAACGTCGGCAATATAAATCGGTATTTTTCACTTTCTTTTTGAGGGAAGGGTTGGGTAGACGTTCGTTGATACAACACTCGCAATATAATATTAAACGTACGAAAAATATTTGTCAGATTTAATTTTTATTTCAACGAACTGACGTATTACTTTTCCCCTGGAACCCACGTATAAAAAACCGCCACCGATGTCCACTGTAAATATATAATACGTCCGGCACGACACGGAACGCATACGGCGATATCCTACCGGGATCGTAATTTTGATTAACGCGCGTGGGAGGTGGTGGCCACCCACGTCCGTTGGGCTAATCGCGCGCGCGAAAAACGCGACGGGCGTAGCGGACGTTTACGCGAACGCAGTCAGCTGCCGAGGCTGCGCGAATCGTCAACGAAAAATGGACACAACGATAACGACCGCGGCGACGTTGTGAAGAACGACGACGACGACGTGGAGGAAGAGGAGGTGGCGGTGGAGGTGGAGGTGGAGGATAATGATGATGATGAGTTCGGAACACCGCTTAAACACCGTACACAAATCACATTATAATAAACGTATTTTCGTAGTAGTTTTAACCTCTCTCCCCCCCCCCACGAGTGAATGCAACCCGTGCGTGCTATTTTTACACGCAACCACAACAACAACAACAACAAACGGTTACAACGTAAATAAAAATATCGTTAAGAAAATTGTTTGTTTTTTTTTTCCCCTATTATGTTTCACACGCAGCCCGTTCCCCTCTCCTCCCCTCGCCGAAACCGAGAATTCACCTTCGTCCCGAACGGCCGTGGAATCGGCAACGAGGTATCCGAAAAGAAGCGGGGAGGAGAGTCGGGTTACCGGCTCTGTAAAATCATATCGCCGTTAAATATCTTCGCGGGAACGGCGCGTCCTGTGCGTGGCCGAAAACCCGGCGCGCTGTTCGGCGTCGCCGGCCACGGACGACGGTGCGCTGCCGGGGGGTCGGGTAATCCAAGGCCAACCGGTAAACGACGTCGTCGTCGTCGTAGCCGCCGCCGTCCAGGTGAAAGAACTAGTAACCTTGAAAGCGCGTGCGTCGCACATACCCAGCTACGATCGCGTTCTCGAAAAACCCGAGTGTTGATCGTAAGCGCACGGACGTCTCGAGGTGCCGCGCCGAGATCGTACGCGATTGTTGTTGTTGTTATTATTATTATTATTTTTACTACGACGACCCGCGAACGGTCGTCGTAGCAACGCGGATAATAATAATAATAATATCGTGTCGACATTTAATGCCGCGGCGGCCGGTAAACTATACTGTATAGGCGGAACGGTGACACCGGGTTTCGTCGGCGCGACGGGTAAACACCCCTCGCCGCCCGCCGGCGCGACCGCGTTGTTATTGTTATTACCATAATAGTGCCGACCGTAACCGAACGGATCGGTTACCGACAACGACGACGACGACGACGATCGATAACACAAACATCGGACAGCCGTTGTTGTTGTTGTTGTTGTTGTTGTTATAATTATCGGGCACTGGTGGCCGGCCGCCCGTTCGAATATAATATGCACAGGCAATAACGTTACAACAGGCGCGAAAAACGCGAGACCTCACGGGCGGTCGATTCTAAGGATTTTCGTCGGGTTTTTTCGACACTTTTAAAGGCGTATCGGGGATGCGCCTTTGGGGAGGGGAGATTAAAACTTTCAACAACCCCGCCGACCGTTGGCGCGCTCAAATTTCACGGGAAATACCGGGTTTACCGCACACACGCAGACTTGTCAAAGTGACGGGGTTAAAACGTTAGTTAGATATTAACTTCTAAAACTTCTTCGACCGCCACTCCCCTCCCCGCGGTCAGTTTGTGCGTTAGCGAAAATCTCGATTCGTCTTTCGGTGAAACTTTCTTCAGTCTATTATCCGAAGATTAAAAGGATACAATTTTATCCCTGAAGGAAGTGGAGGGCAAGGACACGGTTAACGGGTGTTAATGACGGAAAAATCGATTTGCGAATATTATTGACCTCGAAATGTTATGGAATCGGTAGAAGTTTAGTTAAAAAAGAAAATAAAAAACACGTTTTTTCACCCACGACTAACACGGCGTAAATAAATATTAGGCGAAATACGGAATTTAAAAAAAATTATTTCGTTATTTTCGAACGGGGGGAGGGGGGTGGGGGTTGGCGTTTTATACACAATGGAGATTGGTGCAGCTCGATGGTGACGGGGGTTACCGGCGTTCGTTTACTGCGAAATTTACGCGTTTGTGAACAATACGAGTACATAAGAGTTAAACAAGGTATACGCGAAAAATCCACGCGGTTTCGTATTCAAATAGCGCGCAATCGATTTATTATTATACTGCGTTCTACCAGCTACTACTATAAATTAATTTACTACGGGGGGAGGGGAGGGGGGGGGGGAAATAGCCATTAATACGTGTATCCGGTGTGTGCAAACGCGTTGTATACAACCGAGATAAAAGTAAACGTTCGGAACGTATTATTATCGTTATAATTATGATTGGTCGGACGACGGAACACGCGCGCGCCGATTCACCAGAGCACCGTCGACCACCGTTTGTTTACCACTGTAAATAAATTGTAAAAATTGTGATCCGTAATAAAAAAAAAAAAAAAAAAAATTGTATATACTATGTACAAAAATATTAAAATATATTATATTTGAATATTTATTAACCACTATAAAAATAAAGTTAAAACGTAATATTTCTTTAGAAGGAGAGAAATAAGGTTAAATAATGGCTTTCTATGTATAGATACACCGGCGGGCGTGTGTAAAACGACATCGTCGTATTTAAATAACAATAGTCTTCAATTGAAAAACTATAGGTACACGTGTATATTGAAAATGAAAAGAAATAGTACCTATTCCTTCTTTTTATTTTTTTACCGTCGTACAACCGGTAAAAACCGCTCGAACTTGTAGTGTATGACGTTAGTAGAGAATATTAAAAGTTTTTATAATTCCGTCGGACAAACATACATGTCGTTCAAGTAGAGGAGCAACAAATTATTTTTTTGGCAAAAATTGTAATAAAACATCAAAAGTTTAAATCGTTTTGTTCTATAGATTGAAAAAAAATTAATAAATACAAAAAATAGACTTATTATTATCTACAAAATAGAAACTACGTAAAAAAAGTTTTGTACATTATACCACGACTATACAAAGCGACTAAACTGTTTTTTTTTATTTATGAATACTAATTAATTATGTGAAAATTTCAGTTCTCTACAATATGATTCTTCGTCGATTTACAACGAATAATCAAAATCAAAAATAACAAAACCATTGCCGTAAACTTATAATACCGTTTTTTTTTTATCCCCCGTTATTATTAAAACTGGTTGAAAAATCAAAACGAAGCTTTCTTAAATCAATTAGATCAGAAATGCAACGGAAAAAACAGTAATCTTATTATTATTTATTGGATCGAGATAAGAAAAGTTGTTTAGACGCACACAAAAGGAAGAAAAAACATCATACTAGTAGAACCACTCGGAATCACTCGGAATAGTTACATACTCGGTAGTCTGAAAAAAATACTAATATTTCGTGTGGCGATTATAATATGCCGAAAATGTGTATTACGCGCAATATTCGTGTGAATAATTGAAAAAAAAAAAAAGTAATTATTTTTGATTTAAGAAATATCGACTATATTTGTACGGTCCGAGCACGTCATAATATTAAAATGTGCGCAGAACGAACGGTGGCCTTTTTATTATTAAATAAAAATTATTATTATTATTCGTATCGTATTTAATCGAGAGTACAAATTTAGACGAACAAAACGATATGCATATTTATTTCGTGCGCAATAGAACCGAAGCATAAAAATTAAACGAATCAAGGGACAAGCGGTTTTTTCGTTTTCAGACCGTTATCATTTGTCGGATTCAAATCGTCTTCGAACTACGCGATCAGGTCAGATTTAGTGTATTTGACATTTTTATGCGTCTTTGGTACCGGGGGAGAAGTCGATTTTGTACTTTTCACGTTTAAATTGCATACGCTCGTTAATGATGCGATACAAATCAAATGCGGATTATCCGAAGACACGGATATCAGACACGCAGACAATTCTGAATTTAGATTTGAAATCAGAATTTACAATTTAAAAAAAAAATCTACTATTTTATATATTTTTTGTAATAAATCTCTCGCTACGTGAGTAATCTAAAAAGTGTATTTCATTTTTTTCCCATTGTGATAAATTAAATAATAGTGGGGTGGGAAAACAGAGTAGAGAAATAATTGAATAGAAAACCCCGCTATCCACTTGGATCATTAATGTCCTCCCATGATAGTAGAAAATAAAAAAATGTACACAAAGTGTGACAACATGTTTCGTACGTATTCTAGACGGAAATACCTTCGGCAATAGTACTTTGATGAGGGAGAATAATAAATGTTTTTTATTGTCTTGCGCGGAGTTTCTTCGGTAACGGTGTTGACGTAGATGAACAATGGTGTATTCACGATTTTTTATGTTAATGAGAATACGGAAAATTAACACTTGATATCGTTGAACAACTGTCTTGATGTTTCTGACGCACCAGGTGAGTGACGAGAAGAAGAGAGCTTTGTTCATTTCATTATCCAAGGGTAAAATCACTCCCGTTGCCGGTAAAATGGTACGCTATTATTGGTGGAGCCGACTGGAGAGCGGGAAACAATCGACAACGGCTATCCCGGAATATATAATAGAATTTTAATAAAAAAAAAAACGTTTTATTGCGTGACGGAAACGACTGTAGTTGACGAAGAGAACGGCGCGCTAGAAGTTTGAAGCTCCGTATCAAGACGATAAAAACTATACTCGATTCCCATACGAGAAACGAGCCGGCACGATTCTGGCGTACGGTACCGTCCACCTCGTACATAATGGCCCTTCTTCAAAAGCCGCTGCCACTGGCCGATACGGAGCTTACGGAACTTCTAGTGTCCCGTTCTGTTCGTTCGCCACTGTCTTTTCCGTCAATATATTCTATTATATATCCCAGGAGCCGTTGTAGGACCCGCTTGCCCGTCGGCTCCGATAATACCATACCTTAATTTTTTTTTTTTTCGGAATCTCCGAATGGAGTAAGAGTAGGTAGCTTTTTTTTTCTTTTTTTTTTTTTTGACACAGAGTGCGATGATTAAATCATCAAATAAATCATGTCTATACGCAATATTATTCCTTTTATTTACGGTGCTCCCAAAACGCCGACCACATTTTTGAACACAGTCGGCACGAGCAATAACAACAGTACCGAGACAAGCCTTTAGCAAGTGAACTAACTCTAATATTTCAAAAAACGACGTTGGTTAGGATAGGTCGTAGTACAGTTCGGCGAGTATAAGTATAATAGACATTGCATTTTTGCCGTTTGTCAATTATACGCTAGCCAAAATCTCGGCACGTTTTTTGTCAAGACCCATTGCGCCTTTATTATTTTTTCAATATTTATTATAAACATCACAAGTACCTTCCCGTTTGATATACGTTTACCGGTGTACCAGTGGCGTAAATACCGGGTGGACAAGTTGGGCAAATGCCACGGGCCCATGACATAGAATAGGGAAGACTTTTCTTGAATTTTTTTTTTTTTTATACATATATACATATTTTCTCAATTTTTTTTTTTGTATTGTTTGTTTTTTTTCTCAAGTTTTTTGTTTTTTTTTTCACGTTTTATGTATTTTTTTTGTTTTTTTGTTTTTTTTGTTTTTTTGTTTTTTTTGTTTTTTTGTTTTTTTTGTTTTTTTTTGTTTTTTTTTTTTTTTTTTTTTTTTTTTTTTTTACATAAACCCAAGTCGGTTACAACATAATGTTAAAACAAATTGATAATTTTGTTTAATTACCGAGAGTAGATGATTCTGGTAACTTTCTTTATCTGATGCTCATACGATGCTATCGTAAAACGGCAAACAATAGGGCGCTTGTGATCAAGAAGTATATTAAATACTCTTGTGACTTCTCAACTGCAACTTATATTTTACAAGTGTCTATTTTATATTTGTTTAATATAAAGTTCAACTTCTATTTGATCTTAACTGCAACTTATATTTTATACAGCGGCCAACTTCAAATAGATCCCGTAATCTACTGCGCTTCGGCAATTTTTTCACCGCGATGATTTTTTTTTTAATCATCCCACCGCAGTCATCCGCCGGTTGTCAAAATTGTCTTTCAAACCGCCCTTGGTTGTCGTCATTTGTCGGTAGTTCGTTTACTCTCAGCAATTAATATTATAACTATATATTTTTTTTAAATGTATACATTTAAATTTTACATACATATAACATATGTTAATATATAAAATTACAATTTTTTTTTCATCTTAAAAACTAAAAGAAAACAAACCGAATTACAAAAATGAATTTGGTCGAAAATTTGTAACAAAACCTATGATATCTGATAGTTTCTTCCGAGATAATACATGCAGTGGCGTAAATACCGAATGGACAAGATAGGAAAACGTCACGGGCCCATGATATTTACGGGTCCCAAAGCATTATACGATACAGGTAAGGGCCTTTTTTTTTTTTTTTTCTCATTTTTTTTTCATATTTTTTTTTTTTTTTTTGGCATATCAGCAACAATGCGAAAACAATAAATTCACAAAAGGCCGCGACAGTAAAAGTGCCGATTGGGGGCATAGAATTGACATGGGTGCATTGTAACAATGTAATGTTTAAAAAAAAAAACACCAAGCGAATTAAAATAATGCTATAATATAAACCTTAGTTCACTTGTTTAAGGCCAGTTTCCGATTGCATTCAAAAGTATGCGGCTATGTGGTCGGTGTTTTGGACACCGTCATATGAAGATTCTGTGTACATACACGATTCGATTGATAATACAATAATCGTACGCACACTGTGTCAAAAAAAAAAAAAGCAGCTTTCTAGTCGTACGTATTCGAAGACAGTGGCAGCGGCTTTTGAAGAAGGGCCGTTATGTACAAGGTGGGTGGTACCGTACGCCAGAATCACGATCAACTCGTTTTCGTGTTACATCGAGTGAGATCGAGACTAAAATTTATAACGTCGTCTTCTTAGTCGAAACCCAGTTGGCGATCCAATCCGTACTTCAAAACAAATATTGAAGAAAAATGGCGTGTATGTATGCTTGTTCATCCGACACTGATATCGTTGATGATACGGAGCTTAAGACTTCTAGCTCAGTTTTCTCTTCGTTCGCCACTTCTGCGTAACAAATTTTGTATTCACATTTTATTATATATTTTGGGAGTTGTTTTGGATTGCTGACTGTCTACGCGTGGGCTCGGTTTATATTTTTGGATTGCTGACCATCTACGCGTAGGCTCGGCTTATATTTTCGGTATAATTTGACTAGCCACGGAGACAACAGCAGTAATTTTACCTTTGGAAAATGACCGGACCCTTCTTCTTGTCCGAACAATACGTTGCTCGCCTTGTGCGTGTTTCACTTCGCATCAGATAAATCGAGATGATTGTCCGACGATATCCAGTATCAATTTTTCCTTATCCTCAATAATACAAATAATCGTAAAAACCTTCTGTTCTTCGTCAACAACCTTACTGAGGACTAAGTTCCGCGCAGGGCAGTAACAAATAGATTATTCCTCTACATCACAACTGAAGAAATTCCGTCTGGGATAGGTAAGAACATTGTTGTTTCACTTTATATTATTTTACATCTATTTCCTACCATCATAGGGGGCAATACACGATCCGAGTGATTGGTGGTGTTATATATTCGATTATTCTGTAGTCCATTTCCCCCCCTATCATTTCATTTATTGCAACATAAAATACAATTTAATACACATTTTAGGTTATGAGCGTAGCGAGAGATCTATATAACAATACAATATATAATAATAGATTTTTTTTAAAAAAAATTAGAATTTGAAATCTAAAATTAGAATTTTCTGTATGTGAGGTCTGAAATCATTGGATAAACCGGACTTATGTCGCATCATTAATAAGCATAAGTATTTTCAACTAGAAAACTATACGAAATTGACTTAAGCCCTTCAATCCAGGAATCAAATACGTACACAAATGTTAAACATGCTAAATCTACAATATTACACTGGTCACGCGTAGTACAGTTGTTCGTAGACGATAAAAGTCCGATAAATGATAACAATCAAAAAACGGAAAATTCATTCATTATTTTGTTTATTACAATATACGTAAAAAAAAAAAAAATTAAAAACCACAGGCTAATAAATTATTAAAGCATCTAGATATAGATAAGTGATTGTTAAAACGGTTATCGAAATTAATTCAATGGTTATTTTGTATTTTTTTCGGGATAAAAACGATAGTATGTAACGATAATTATTGGGATAAAATATGGTAAGTTAAAGCTTTTCGATATTTTTTAATATGACGGCATTAACATTTAAAAGTAAGTTTAAAATGTTTGATAAAATACGATAAGCGGTGGAACGGTAACGAAACCCAAGTCATTTACTTTCGGGTTACAATTTTGGTTAAGTATATTGTGAAAACCAGAGTACGAAATCGACACATCGAATAACTTTGAATTACCGCGCGTCTCGGCCGCCGATTTTGAATTTCAAAAAGCGGTTCGACCGTTACACGATTCGCGAAAAAAATACGAACAAAATAGTTGGTGGTCAAAAATAGGGGACGCCGTTTTGAGAAAAAAATTCCGTCCAATTGCGTATGCTCGTGTCTATAATTAACGTCGAAAAAAATCACGAAACTATACGTAAACGACGAGCGAAGGGGGGGGGGGAAATTCGAATCGCGTTTATCTGCGCGAAGATATCGAGCGTGTGCTCAATTCTCAATTATTGTCTGTTCACACATCGCAGTGTATCGTCCGAATGCGACTCGGACACGGTGGTTTTGCCAATAACACGCGAGACGATACCAATTTAAACATACACGCGCCACTTCCCGCCCTGCTGAAATGCGGTTTCGGAACGGAAGACTGGACGGCGAAAAGGGACGGTCGATCCCCTTCCTCCTTTTTTTTTTTTATTTTCAATTTTCATTTATCCGGCCGCAGATCCGGCGGAAACTCGCGTTACGAATATTTTATTCATCAATCAAGTAAAACGGCGGCGGGAAAATATTATGCGCGTTCGGCGCACGTTACTTGATCGATCATTCGACGGTGCAGGCGTCGTCGTCGTAATTAATGAATACCGACAATGGCCCCTTCTCTCTCTCTCTCTCTCTCTCTCTCTCTCTCTATATATATATATATATATATATCTATTTTTTTTTCATTATTATTATTTTCTCCTCTTGTCCCGTCGTTTACCACCTCTCCACTATTCCCCGGCCCGGACCACGCCCTTACGAAAACGCCGCCGCCACCACAGGGGGAAAGTGGCCCCGTCGGCGGCGCAGACGGATCAATAAAAACCCTCTGGCCCGTCTCGCCGGCGTAGTTTTACTACGGCGTACAAAATAATACGGGACGCACATGGGTGACTACGGCGGCGGGCGTGCGCGTGTTACACGCGCGACCCACGCCGGTTACACGCCGCCGTCCGCGATCGCATTTTCGTGCCCGCGCGGTAACCACCGGCGACCGCGTCACGCGGAGGGGTCGTATAGCGCGCAAACGGACAAAACCGCCGCGTTATAACATTACAGTACTATACCGCTTCGGGGGGGGGGGGGGGGGGGGAGACGAACATCGTCGTACGTCAAAGTGTCTACTGCAAATCATCGCCCGCATTACAATGGCGTGTACGCGCGCGGACTGCCGAATAAACGATATTACTAATGACATAATTTACAATAATATTAAGAAATACGCAATACAGTATAACATAATAATGTTTAGAACATAACGCGTTTTAATGCGTTTTCGCTTCGATTTACCCGAGCCGCAGTGGCGTGGTGAACGTTTATAAACCATTATATTATGATGCACAGCACAAATTTCAGTACACATCCACCCAGGCTCGGAAGGACGAAATATTTGATGTGGGAAAAAGGGAAAGAATTGTTTTACAGAGGAGCGGGGATGTTTACATCCACGCAAGCAAGCAAACTTGACCAAATCGCCAACATTCAAGCTCGCTCTGCCCGTGAAAGGGATGCTCAAGTGCAGACTACTCCGATTATCATCCAGGACGAATATATCACAAAAACCGTCTCGGACAAGCAGGTGGATTTGAAATACGCATAATTCACACTAGGTAATATTAGGCCCGTTCTCACCGATGTAAACGTTGGCTATCAAATTGGGTTTATAACATAATCGACCAGTCGTGATTGGTAACAATATTTATCATGCGAGGACGTGAACGCAAGAGAATTTGGAACCGCTATCATTATACACGTTTAATTTATTTTGCACTGTATGGTTTAATAATAAAATGCAAGATTTGATTTAAACTATACCGGCCAGAAAAAAAAAAAAAAATGATAAATTAGGTATCACGTTATTACTCGTGTATAATTAAGATAACATTATACAGAGCCCGCAACCAATGGCACGATGGTTTTGGCGTTGGCTGTTATCACTAGTTAGTGATCTAGTTTAATATCGGCTATATTTGCGATCGCAATAGAAACATGAACGAGTGCCCGCCTCGAACGAAAAATCCGGCGGATATGCAATCCGTACCGCTCCTAACCGCCCGGCAATCAGCAATGTGGTTTCTCGTATACAATATTAGCCGTGGATAGGCGGTTTGAAAAAATTACGCGAACCGCGCGAGGAGCCTATACGGACGCGAAGACCCCCCGACACACCGTTACGAAAACGAGCACGGCGGTCCGTCGGGCCCGCGGATCTTTTCCGTCCCTTTTACGAAACGCGGTGTTGCCACGCCCGTGTTTCGCTGGGAGTGGCGGCCGGTGTCGGTGACAAGGGAGCGGATCTTTGCGCCATCTACTCCGCCACGTCATCAGCGCGCCGCGCGCACGTGACCTCCCCGGAAATGTAAACACCACTCTTGAGGGACGGACGTTCAACGTGTCCACGTGTTGAATTCTTGAAGGGCGACACTATACGGGCGGCAGCTGCGGCTACTGCTGCTGCTGCAGCCGGTGGTAGTGCTTACTAATCAGCTGAGACGCGCAGACTTTTATCGAGATTTTCGACGAAACACCCCGACAACGAATACCGTGCACGTACAACGCCGAAATTCTCGCCGGACACTGATGATCCGCGGCCCCACCCTGGTTTTTAAAATATCCGTGTTTATGCGCACACTCAATATAAACGGGCAACCCGATAAACTTTTTTAGGGAGGGAAAGGGAAAAACATGTTTTTTTTTAAAAAAAAAAAACCTCTACTCCTTTCATAGATAGATATCACGTAGCGCCGCAGGCGGTGATGATGGCTCAATAAACGCGAACGTTTTCTCGGACACGATAATAGAGAAAAACTCAAATATGGCATTCCATCAGTTACGAAATAGATTTTAGGATGCGCGTGCGCTGCCGGAATATTAAAAAGCTTCACCCGTAAACCCCGTTACCGGTAATTCCGGGAAATCTACGATACGAGCGGAGCACGGTGATGTGCATGCTGGATGAAAATATGACACCTAACACCGCTTTGTACATTAAAACATTTGAAAGAAATAATTTAAACATGTTTCAGAACAGATTTCGGTACACGTTAAATTTGTAAAAATGCCTACAAAAGAATTTAATTTGTAATAATATTTCCAAAGAATATAAACCAGTGCATAATTCGTTTTACTTTGTTCCATACAATGAAAATATTATTGAAACAACAATCACAAAATGTATATGATTGTATCTCTGGTAATATATTTAATAAGAAGTTTAAAATAGCAACGTCTTCATTGGTCACCAATAAATACAAAAACATCAGCTTTACGCATGTGCTCTATTACATACTCAAGAACCGAATTCGGTACACGTTATATTCGTAAAAATGCCTACAAAATGTGTCATTTGTAAAAATATTTTCATGGAAGTTTAACCAGCGCATAAATCGTTTTACAATGATCCATACAAGGAAAATGTTATTGAAAAAAAAAAAATACAAAATGTATATGATAGTTTTTTTGATAATATCTTAAATATGGGGTTTAAAACATCGAGCAACGACTTCATTGGTCACCTATGAATACAAAAACATCGGTTTTACATATGTGTTTTATTACACATTCAAGGTCCGAGTTCGGTACACGTTAAATTTGTAAAAATGCCTAGGAAAAAATGTAATTTATAAAATCATTTTCAGGAAATGTAGACCAGTGCAAAATTCTTTATTTGTATATTGATCCATATAAGGAAAATATTATTGAAAAAAAAAGATACAAAATGTATATGATTGATACAGTCCTCTCCCTCTAATCTTACCACCAAAATGTTTCTCTCACTCAGAAATCAAAACTTTCATAAACAATTTCCCTTTAGACAAGTCACCAGGATTTGACCTAATAATGGCCAAAGTAGCTCGTAAACTACCTCATAAGGCCAGTATCCATCTCACTCATATCTACAACGCAATCCTAAGACTATCCAACTTCCCCACTCAATGGAAATTTTCTGTCATAATTTTGTTCCCTAAACCTAATAAACCTACAGGCAACCCTGCTTCCTACTTCCCAATAAGCCTACTCCCTCTCGTCTCTAAACTCTTAGAAAAATTAATACTGAAACGTATCTATCCAATCATCGTAGAAAATAACATAATTCCGAACTCTCAATTTGGATTCCGAGAAAAACATTCGACTATACACCAAATACACAGACTTGCTGATGCCATTTCATGCTCGCCAGAAAATAAACAATACACTTCCGCCGTATTCCTAGATGTCTCACAAGCATTTTACAAAGTCTGGCATCCTGGACTCTTATATAAACTTAAAAAAATCTTACCTCCTTCATTCTACCTTCTCCTAAATTCTTACTTAAAAGAACCCTTTTTTGCTGTTAGCTCGGGAGCTGAAATCTATAACATCTCTCCAATTCTAGCTGGCGTATCACAAGGTGTAGTCTTATCCCCCACATTGTACAATATACACACCGCAGACCAGCCCATTCATCCCGATACTTCAGTTGCCGAATATGCTGACGACAAAGTTATCTACTCCACGCACATCGATCCTTTATTAACAGTTTCGACATCACTACAGAATCATCTTGATCTATTTTCTCTCTGGTACTCCCAATGGCGCATTAAAATAAACGAAACAAAATCAATAAATACCACTTTGACCCTCACTGGGTCAAAGTGGGTACAGTGAGGGTCTACAATGAGTAATTCTATTACAGAAAGCAGAAACACACCCCGTATATTTTCAAACATGTTCTCAGAAATAATTGAACTAGGAACTGCCAGATGTAAAGAAATCCATCAACATAGAGTATACTACACACCTCTAGGAAATATAATATCCGGACTTAAAATCAACCAAACAATTTTAGTATCTCACACTAGTTGTGGTGCTCTCGATAGAGAAGGAAACTGTGTAGGTACCACTTTTACCAACCCAAAAGGAACTTGGCATAAAGTCATTATTCAAGCCAAATACTCCATACAACTCGCAGAAGAAATAGCAACAGCCAACAATAAAGAAAACATTTTAATTCTACCATCGGGATCCAAATTAAAATTATCTGACTCATATGGATTAGACCAATACAAAGGGGAAATAGTATGGCAGATCGAACATCAAGAATGCAGCATACGCGAATTCGATGTTCTATATGACGGAGAAGCGTCATTAGTAAAAGCAACCACTTATAATTCAAACACGGAATCGTTCATAGTAGAAACAAACCATACTGCCATCTCCCTAAAAAAATTATCATTAAGTTATGCCTGCAACATTCCGGTATATAAAACAGACAACCCTCAACTATTAATAATAGCTGACCAAAATTACGCAGATAGCTTTACACCAAAACAGATCACACCTTTCAGCGCAGATTTATTGTCTTATCTGAATACTAAATTTGTATACCTCGAATTCACTGTTAAAAGAACAACAACCAAGTTATTAATAATTAATACTACAATTTAATATTAAATATTGATTTCTCTATAAAATAATATGTATTGTTATGGGGGCATAACAAAAAAGAGACTGGGGTGGATGTAATGATAGGCTATTTAAGCTATCATACATAATTTAANTCTATATGACGGAGAAGCGTCATTAGTAAAAGCAACCACTCATAATTCAAACACGGAATCATTTATAGTATTTAGAAACAAACCACATTGCCTTCTCCCTAAAAAAAAATTATCATTAAGTTATGCCTGCAACATTCCGGTATATAAAACAGACAACCCTCCACTATTAATAACAGCCAACCAAAATTACGTAGATAAGCTTTACACCAAAACAGATCACACCTTTCAACACAGATTTATTGTCTTATCTGAATACTAAATTTGTATACCTCGAATTCACTGTTGAAAGAACAACAACCAAGTTATACGCAGATTTAACAGTGCGAACTAGAAAAACAGCTACTGCTTCAAAAACTATCCATTGCTTCCTATTTGCTGAGTGAATTTGAGTATTTAATAGGAGAGGGACCAGGCTATACAGCCATAAAAACGGAGAAATAATCTACCTACAAAAATCTGTTCCGATAAACGTCAACTTAAACTTCCAAGATAGATGCTTTAACGAACTACCAGTCTCAGTCAACAACAAAACATACTATATGACACCAATAAATCACATACTGCAAAACATTGGTACACAAATAGACTGCAACGAATTTATATCAGCCGCTTTCGCAAGTGACGCAAAAAGATGGACTGCATTAACTCCGAAATCGCACAAAATAAATCCTCCTCAAAAATTGAAACCAGCTACTACACTATCCTGGTCTTACGAAAATGCAGATAATTTCATGACAGCCGGAATACACACCCCGGAGATAATCAATGCACTACAAAAACATCTCATGTACCCGCATGAAACTAAAACGGATCAAGAAAAACCAATAGGACACATAATTGGTCATGAAGTAATAAATCAAGGATTTGATACTAGGAATATCATCCATTCTGAATTACAAAAAATTTGGGGTTGATTTACTAGGATGGGACATGTCGCATCCAGCCTTTTAGGAATCTTTGTGACAGGCAAAGTTTCTCTAATGACTATCAACAACATACTGAATATATCCATCCTATACAAAACATTTGGTTGGCACATTAAATTAATAGCGGGCATTTTCTCCAACATAACGCATTATCTAATGCATAAAGAAAACTTGAACAGATACGAAGCTGTCTCTACTACTGTAACCAACAAGACAACGGAAGAAAAACACCCTACTCCACAATTATATCCAGATTTACGAAGAACTTCAATATAAAATAAGTATCCACCACACATCACATGCATATGGACCCCCCTTTTATATTATATTCATTTTATTCTCTCCCCTTATTAATACTACAATTTAATATAAAATATTGATTTCTTTATAAAATAATATTCATTATTATAAGGGCATAACAAAAAAGAGACTAGGGTGGATGAAATGATATGCTATTTAAGCTATCATATATAATGTAAATAAAATGTAAAAACAATAATATAAAATAAAACATCGAGCAACGTCTTCATTAGTCACTAATGAATACTAAATCATCAGCTTTACATATGTGTACTATTACACAATCAAGGACCGAATTCGGTAAACGATTAATTTGTAAAAATGCCTACGAACAAATGTATTTTATACTATCATTTTCAGAAAATGTAGACCAGTGCTAAATTCGCTTAACATTGATCCATACAAGAAAAATATTATTAAAAAAAAAATACTAAATGTATATAATAGTTTCTCTGATAATATCTTTAATAAGAAGTTTATATCATCGAGCAACGTCTTCGTTATACCTTTAATGACTTTCCAGCGTGAAATCCTTCCTGCTACACGCGCCGTTGTCATGGTGACATCAATGTTTGATGTCCCCATACCAACCCGGTTGCATCTATGAGTCCTTCTGTTGTTGTTATGGACCGTTAACTGATGTTTCTCGATGAGATCCTCAATTTTCCGTCCCTTGACTCTGGCCGTATTGTTAGATGCGTCACACATCCATAGTGGAGAGTGAGCGTTAACATCGGCACAGATGACGGTTTCGCCTTTCATCTCATTGAGTATGACGTCCAATCTCATCACAAACTCAACCGTTAGTATGTTGAATTTGAAATATGATGACACAAAGTTGATAATTTCTCTGCCAATGCGTACGGTTATTACCGTGAAGTAAACACTGGACAGATTGCTTAGTACTGTGACTTCCAGCTCCACATTAAAGACAATAATGGCGGCACCGGGTTTTTGTCCCGTACTACCAACAATGCATCTAATTGGGTCATGGTCTAATCCTTTGATGATTCTGTTCTTTGAAGGGAACTCCTGTATTAAGGCTAGATCAACCTTATTGTGTATACAGTAGTCTCTCAGTTGTTTGACGACGATGTGCTGACCGTTCAGATTATGCTGATCGATCCTTAACTCCGTCAATTTATGTGCGTGGTGACTGGTCATTGCGGGATCCATACGATGTCCTCCGCATGACGTTATTAATCGCCTTTGTACGCTCTGCACATAGTGGTGATGTCGCTTCATGTGACTTTTATGCAGTTAATGCATTTTGATGCTCTTTCCTTGTTGGGACAGTCTTTTCCCATGTGGCCTTTCTCTGCGTAATGGTGGCACGCAGTAAACATTGACACACAAAACTTCTCCCTGTGTCCATATTGCAGACATTTGAANTAGAAAACATATGTAAAACGGATATTTAGATGCGTCACACATACATGCTCCTTCCTTGTTGGGACAGTCTTTTCCCATGTGGCCTTTCTCTGCGTAATGGTGGCACGCAAAAAACATTGACACACAAAACTTCTTTCTGTGTCCATATTGCAGACATTTGAAACATTGATTGTAATCAAAGTATTCGGTTATTCTGCAATAAGACATGCCAAGGAACACTTTTTTACCCACAATTTTACTTAGCACTTCGGGTTTTACAATGCATACCCAGTGTACCGTTTCCTTGTTCGGTGGTCCTTTTTTAAAGGACGGTTTTATTCCCGCCACGGCTTCGTCCGAACTTAAGCCCAGTACTGAGTTCTGTATTGCCAAAGTGGACGCAAGTACTTCTCCTGTTAGGGTAACATCTACATCGTGGATCATGACCATTGGTGATCTTAGTGTATTTTGCACTAGGTCTGTTCGCTCAGTCGATATGGTCTTTAGGGCGTCGTAAGTTGCCTTGTCCGCCGGGATTATTTGGATGTCTTCCTTTGGCATGACACGTGTGCTTACAATATTTAATGGCTCGGTCTTTTTAAGTAAGTCTGACCATAAAGTCTTCTTTACATCCCCTATGCTGGAGTTTCCTACCCCGACCGTAAAGGTTTTCGGTGGCTCGATCTTCTTGAGCTTCTCAGCCTTTTCTTTCCACTTAAGCACGTCTGATTTTGCCTTTGAACTGGTCTCGGTTCCCGAGTCCGTTTCTGAGGTCAGGTTGTGCTTCCTATTTTTACTCTTTCTCTTCGTTTTCCTTCTTACAACTGTAAATTGGTCCGATGCTACTGCCTCCGTGTCTGTTGTATAACATTAATTTCGTGGCTTTGGACCTCCTGCTACATGTACGCTAGACATAGCTGGCTTTTTAGGCTTGCTAGCCAGCTCCGTAGCTAAGTCGGTCGTCTTTGGCTTCGCCTGTTGCTGCTTTGTTCCTACAGTTGGTTTACTGCTGCGTGCTTCGAGTAGTCTGCCAACCAGCAGACTGTTCTCCGCAATCAAATCGTCCACTAAATCTTGGTACCTTATTCGAATAGCTTGTAAGTCATTGAATCAACCTGATGTTTATTCATATAACTATCGATGACTTTAAAAATTTCTTCACCTGTGGTATTTGTGTCCAAAGCAGTACAAAACAATAAATCTTCTTCGATAGATGTTTCAAAAATATACCTCACGAAAACAAGCAGTATTAAAAGTCCAGCAACGTCAGTACTTTCGTCAAGTTGAATAGCAAACATGTTACAACTTTTCAACCGGTTTATTAGTTGATCTTCAATGTGGTCCGATATTTTATGTATCCGATCAGATATAGTGTTGTTGGAGCATTGAACAGTTGCAATTTTCTTAGCAGCCTCTTCTCAAATCATGCAACGAACTATTTCAGTCATACATGGTTTACTTAGAGACTCAGCAATTGTATGTGGTTTACCAGCACGAGCAATGCTCTCGTTTGTCGCGTATTTATGTAAGGCAGACAAGCTGCTATTATGTTCTTCTTTACGTTTTTTAAAATAGCCCATTTCCTTGTTCATCAAATTTGGATGGTTCGTTTCAAAGTGCCGTTTAACTTTGCAGGTGCCAAAAAACTATTCTGAAGAATTACATTACAAATAACATATTGTCCATCAGGCTTTCCTACAGTACCAAATGGAATAANTCCAAATTGAAGGTAGGATTCATCGTATTTTCTCTTTTTGGAAGGTTTTAACTCAATAATTTCAGGTACAACTATACTTTTTTCCGAAATATTACTATGAGAATTATTTTCAATGGCATTAGTAATCTAAAATAAATTTAATAATAATGACAATATAATATTATATTATATAATTTTAATAACAAGACTGGAAACGATTAAAAATTAACTAATTTTATTCAAATTTCTTACCGAACAACAAGGAATAGCATCTTTCAATATAACTTGTTGAGATTCTATTATATTCAGTCTCATCAATAATATTACTTGTTATTTTGGCAAACAACCGTCCTGTTCTAAACCAATTATGCATGGCAAACTTTTTATTTGTAGTCATGTTGTATTTATAATAAATAATAATTAATAACGCAGTAACAACGTACACGAAGTATATCGTATGACAACTATATGCCAACTGAATCATAATTACTGAATTTTAACTCATTACGATTACGGATATAATGTATCAATCGTATCGAACGCAAACGCGTGCAAATAAGTAATTTTTATAAGTTATCGCACAATTTACTGGCAATCGCGTTGACACGCTTATCTAAATTCTACAAATCTACATCTATAACGTAATGACACCGTCTATAGGTACATGAGTGTTATAACGATATAATATATAATATAATAACGATATTATACTATAATAACTAAATAATAGATTTTAGGTGAACTTTTTTTAAATAATATAAAATAATATTTTTTTTATAAATAATCCAAATACATAATGTATAATATAAATTAATTTTCTCAACATCACATACATCTGACGGAACCCTTGAGATAGTCCGGCGGAACCCTAGAGTTCCGCGGAACACACTTTGGGAAACGCTGTAGAGTCTATACTCTGGAGACTCTGATCCAGAGGTTGCAAGGCACAGGTGTAAACCAGGCAAGGTATACCCTTCGCTGCCACAAGACGACTACGATTACGTTCGGTTTGGTGGGCTTCGTAACTGGGCTCAAAACACTGAGGGACGTTAGTCAAAGGAGAAAATTTTCAGAAAGAGGCTAAGTCTGCCACCTAGAAGTAAACCAGACTCAGAATCTGACGATGAATATGAACAGAAACCTTTACTCAGACTAAAAGGTGGAGCTGGAAGCAGCTCCGGATCACCATCAGGTACCCCGACAACAAAGGACAGAAGGCGGAAACAAAGCGAAGGCAATGATTTCAGCGACCATGAACTAGTGGAGGATAAGAAGCTCCAGAGGACTAAAACATCCAATAGGATATGTGCCACTATGGATGCAAACCCGGTTTGGACGCGACACAAATTAGATTCTACCTAACTAAAAGTCGAGAAATCGATAGAGAATTCAACGGAGTTCTTAATTCGGAAAAGGAGAAGAAAAAGATTAGCCTAAAGTCGTTCAATGACAAGCTATCCGAATAAGGTACCAAGAATTAGTGGGCGATTTGATTGCGGAGAACAGTCTGCTGGTTGGCAGACTACTCGAAGCACGCAGCAGTAAACCGACTGTAGGAACAAAGCAGCAACAGGCGAAGACAAAGACGACCGACTTAGCTACGGAGCTGGCTATTAAGCCTAAATTGCCAGCTATGTCTAACGTACATGTAGCAGGAGGTCCAAAGCCAAGAAATTAATGTTACACAGCGGACACGGAGGCAGATGCATCGGACCAATTCACCGTTTTAAGAAGGAAAAAGAAGAGAAAGAGTAAAAATAGGAAGCACAACCTGACCTCAGGAACGGACTCGGGAACCGAGACCAGTTCAAAAGCAAAATCAGACGTGCTTAAGAGGAAAGAAAAGGCTGAGAAGCTCAAGAAGATCGAGCCACCGAAAACCTTTACGGTCGGGGTAGGAAANAAAATTTCTTCACCTGTGGTATTTGTGTCCAAAGCAGTACAAAACAATAAATCTTCTTCGATAGATGTTTCAAAAATATACCTCACGAAAACAAGCAGTATTAAAAGTCCAGCAACGTCAGTACTTTCGTCAAGTTGAATAGCAAACATGTTACAACTTTTCAACCGGTTTATTAGTTGATCTTCAATGTGGTCCGATATTTTATGTATCCGATCAGATATAGTGTTGTTGGAGCATTGAACAGTTGCAATTTTCTTAGCAGCCTCTTCTCAAATCATGCAACGAACTATTTCAGTCATACATGGTTTACTTAGAGACTCAGCAATTGTATGTGGTTTACCAGCACGAGCAATGCTCTCGTTTGTCGCGTATTTATGTAAGGCAGACAAGCTGCTATTATGTTCTTCTTTACGTTTTTTAAAATAGCCCATTTCCTTGTTCATCAAATTTGGATGGTTCGTTTCAAAGTGCCGTTTAACTTTGCAGGTGCCAAAAAACTATTCTGAAGAATTACATTACAAATAACATATTGTCCATCAGGCTTTCCTACAGTACCAAATGGAATAAATCCAAATTGAAGGTAGGATTCATCGTATTTTCTCTTTTTGGAAGGTTTTAACTCAATAATTTCAGGTACAACTATACTTTTTTCCGAAATATTACTATGAGAATTATTTTCAATGGCATTAGTAATCTAAAATAAATTTAATAATAATGACAATATAATATTATATTATATAATTTTAATAACAAGACTGGAAACGATTAAAAATTAACTAATTTTATTCAAATTTCTTACCGAACAACAAGGAATAGCATCTTTCAATATAACTTGTTGAGATTCTATTATATTCAGTCTCATCAATAATATTACTTGTTATTTTGGCAAACAACCGTCCTGTTCTAAACCAATTATGCATGGCAAACTTTTTATTTGTAGTCATGTTGTATTTATAATAAATAATAATTAATAACGCAGTAACAACGTACACGAAGTATATCGTATGACAACTATATGCCAACTGAATCATAATTACTGAATTTTAACTCATTACGATTACGGATATAATGTATCAATCGTATCGAACGCAAACGCGTGCAAATAAGTAATTTTTATAAGTTATCGCACAATTTACTGGCAATCGCGTTGACACGCTTATCTAAATTCTACAAATCTACATCTATAACGTAATGACACCGTCTATAGGTACATGAGTGTTATAACGATATAATATATAATATAATAACGATATTATACTATAATAACTAAATAATAGATTTTAGGTGAACTTTTTTTAAATAATATAAAATAATATTTTTTTTATAAATAATCCAAATACATAATGTATAATATAAATTAATTTTCTCAACATCACATACATCTGACGGAACCCTTGAGATAGTCCGGCGGAACCCTAGAGTTCCGCGGAACACACTTTGGGAAACGCTGTAGAGTCTATACTCTGGAGACTCTGATCCAGAGGTTGCAAGGCACAGGTGTAAACCAGGCAAGGTATACCCTTCGCTGCCACAAGACGACTACGATTACGTTCGGTTTGGTGGGCTTCGTAACTGGGCTCAAAACACTGAGGGACGTTAGTCAAAGGAGAAAATTTTCAGAAAGAGGCTAAGTCTGCCACCTAGAAGTAAACCAGACTCAGAATCTGACGATGAATATGAACAGAAACCTTTACTCAGACTAAAAGGTGGAGCTGGAAGCAGCTCCGGATCACCATCAGGTACCCCGACAACAAAGGACAGAAGGCGGAAACAAAGCGAAGGCAATGATTTCAGCGACCATGAACTAGTGGAGGATAAGAAGCTCCAGAGGACTAAAACATCCAATANATAATAGTTTCTCTGATAATATCTTTAATAAGAAGTTTAAAACATCGAGCAACGTCTTCATTGTTCCAATGAATGAATTTTACCATTGAATACAAAAACATCCGTTTTACATATGTGTTTTATTTCACGTTTAAGGACCGAATATGGTACACGGATAATTTGTAAAAATACCTACAAAAGAATTTATTTAGTAATAATATTTCCAAAAAATATAAACCAGTGCAAAATTCGTTTTACATTGATCCATACATGGAAAATATTATTGAAAAATAAAAAAAAAATTAATGTATATAATAGTTTCTCTGATAATATCTTTAATAAGAAGTTTAAAACATCGAGCAACGTCTTCATTGTTCCAATAAATGAATTTATAAACATAAATTTTGTAAAAATGCCTACAACAGAATTTATTAAGGAATAATATTTTCAAAAAATAAAAACCAGAGCATAATTCGTTTTACATTGATCCATACATGGAAAATATTATTGAAAAATTAAAAAAAAATTAATGTATATAATAGTTTCTCTGATAATATCTTTAATAAGAAGTTTAAAACATCGAGCAACGTCTTCATTGTTCCAATAAATGAATTCATAAACATTATATTTGTAAAAATGCCTACAAAAGAATTTATTTAGTAATAATATTTCCAAAAAATATAAACCAGTGCAAAATTCGTTTTACATTAATCCATACAAGGAATATATTATTGAAAAATAAAAATACTTAAAAAATATAATAGTTTCTCTGATAATATCTTTAATAAGAAGTTTAAAACATCGAGCAACGTCTTCATTGTTCCAATGAATGAATTTTACCATTGAATACAAAAACATCCGTTTTACATATGTGTTTTATTTCACGTTTAAGGACCGAATATGGTACACGGTTAATTTGTAAAAATGCCTACAAAAAAATTTATTTAGTAATAATATTTCCAAAAAATATAAACCAGTGCAAAATTCGTTTTACATTGATCCATACAAGGAAAATATTATTGAAAAAATAAAAATACTTAATGTATATAATAGTTATTCTATTACACGTTCAAGGACCGAGTTAGGTACACGTTAAATTTGTAAAAATGCCTACAAAATTATTTATTTTGTAATAATATTTTCGAAAAATATGAACCAGTGCAGAATTCGTTTTACATTGATCCATACATGGAAAATATTATTAAAAAATAAAGAAAAAATTAATGTATATAATAGTTGCTTTGATAATATCTTTAATAAGAAGTTTAAAACATCGAGCAGCGTCTTCATTGTTCCAAAGAATGAATTGTACCAATGAATACAAGAACATCCGTTTTACATATGTGTTCTATTACACATTCAAGAATTGAGTTAGGTACACGGTTAATTTGTAAAAATGCCTACAAAAGAATTTATTTTGTAAATATATTTTCAAAAAATATAAACCAGTGCATAATTCGTTTTACATTGATCCATAAAAGAAAAATATTATTGAAAAAATAAAAATACTAAATATATATAATAGTTATTCTGATAATATCTTTAATAAGAAGTTTAAAACATCGAGCAACGTCTTCATTGTNCGGTTAATTTGTAAAAATGCCTACAAAAAAATTTATTTTGTAAATATATTTTCAAAAAATATAAACCAGTGCATAATTCGTTTTACATTGATCCATACAAGGAAAATATTATTGACAAAATAAAAATACTAAATGTATATAATAGTTTTTCTAATAATATCTTTAATAAGAAGTTTAAAACATCGAGCAACGTCTTCATTGTTCCAATAATTGAATTCATAAACATTAAATTTGTAAAAATGCCTACAAAAGAATTCATTAAAGAATAATAATTTCGAAAAATATAAACCAGTGCAAAATTAGTTTTACATTGATCCATACAAGGAATATATTATTGAAAAATAAAAATACTTGAAAAATATAATAGTTTTTCTGATAATATCTTTAATAAGAAGTTTAAAACATCGAGCAGCGTCTTCATTGTTCCAAAGAATGAAATGCACCAAGGATAACAAGAACAACGATTTTATGTGTTTTATTACACGTCCAAGGACCGAAATTGGTACACAGTTAATTTGTAGAAATACCTATAAAACAATTTATTTAGTAGTAATATTTTCAAAAAATATAAACCGGTGTAAAATTCGTTCTACATTGATCCATACAAGGAAAAAATTATTGACAATATAGAAATACTAAATGTATATAATAGTTTTTCTGATAATATCTTAAATAAGAAGTTTAAAACATCGAGCAACGACTTCATTATTCCAATAAATGAATTCATAAACATAAAATTTGTAAAAATGCCTACAAATGAATTTATTAAGGAATAATATTTTAAAAAAATATAAACAAAATAAATGTATATAATAGTTTCTCTGATAATATCTTTAATAAGAAGTTTAAAACATCGAGCAACGTCTTCATTGTTCCAATAAATGAATTCAAAAACATTATATTTGTAAAAATGCCTACAAAAAAATTTATTTAGTAATAATATTTCCAAAAAATATAAACCAGTGCAAAATTCGTTTTACATTGATCCATACAAGGAAAATATTATTGAAAAAATAAAAATACTTAATGTATATAATAGTTATTCTGATAATATCTTTAATAAGAAGTTTAAAACATCGAGCAACGTCTTCATTGTTCCAATAAATGAATTCATAAACATTAAATTTGTAAAAATGCCTACAAAAGAATTTATTTAGTAATAATATTTCCAAAAAATATAAACCAGTGCAAAATTCGTTTTACATTGATCCATACATGGAAAATATTATTGAAAAATTAAAAAAAAATTAATGTATATAATAGTTTCTCTGATAATATCTTTAATAAGAAGTTTAAAACATCGAGCAGCGTCTTCATTGTTCCAATGAATGAATTCATAAACATAAAATTTGTAAAAATGCCTACAAAAGAATTGATTAAGGAATAATATTTTCAAAAAATAAAAACCAGAGCATAATTCGTTTTACATTGATCCCTACAAGGAATATATTATTGAAAAATAAAACTACTTAAAAAATATAATAGTTTCTCCGATAATATCTTTAATAAGAAGTTTAAAACATCGAGCAACGTCTTCATTGTTCCAATAAATAAACTCATAAACATTCAATTTGTAAAAATGCCTACAAAATAATGTTTTTAGTAAATATATTTTCATGGAATATGAAACAAGTGCATAATTTGTCTTACATTGATCCATACAAAGAAAATATTATTAAAAAATACAAATACTAAGTAAATATAATAGTTTCTCTGATAATATCTTTAATAAGAAGTTTAAAACATCAAGCAACGTCTTCATTGGTCACCAATGATTACCAAAACATTAGCTTTACAAACGTGTTCTATAACACACCCAATTAACGATTTCGATAAACGTTTTATATTTTCAATATGCCCTCAAAAAAAAAGCCTTTTGTAATAATATTTTCATGGAATATGAAACAAGTGCATTATTTGTCTTACATTGATCCATACATTGAAAATATTATTGAAAAATAAAAAAAAAATTAATGTATATAATAGTTTCTCTGATAATATCTTTAATAAGAAGTTTAAAACATCGAGCAACGTCTTCATTGTTCCAATGAATGAATTTTACCATTGAATACAAAAACATCCGTTTTACATATGTGTTTTATTTCACGTTTAAGGACCGAATATGGTACACGGTTAATTTGTAAAAATGCCTACAAAAGAATTTATTTAGTAATAATATTTCCAAAAAATATAAACCAGTGCAAAATTCGTTTTACATTGATCCATACAAGGAAAATATTATTGAAAAATTTAAAACATCGAGCAACGTCTTCATTGTTCCAATAAATAAATTTATAAACATAAATTTTGTAAAAATGCCTACAACAGAATTTATTAAGGAATAATATTTTCAAAAAATATAAACCAGAGCATAATTCGTTNAAATTCGTTTTACATTGATCCATACATGGAAAATATTATTGAAAAATAAAAAAAAATTAATGTATATAATAGTTTCTCTGATAATATCTTTAATAAGAAGTTTAAAACATCGAGCAACGTCTTCATTGTTCCAATAAATGAATTCATATACATTAAATTTGTAAAAATGCCTACAAAAGAATTTATTAAGGAATAATATTTTCGAAAATTATGAACCAGTTCAAAATTCGTTTTACATTGATCCATACAAGGAAAATATTATTGAAATATTAAGATACTAAATGTATATAATTCCTCTGATAATATCTTTAATAAGAAGGTTAAAACATCGAGCAGCGTCTTCATTGTTCCAAAGAATGAATTCATAAACATAAATTTTGTAAAAATGCCTACAACAGAATTTAGTTTGTAAATATATTTTCAAAAAATATAAACCAGTGCATAATTCGTTTTACATTGATCCATACAAGGAAAATATTATTGAAAAAATAAAAATACTAAATGTATATAATAGTTATTCTGATATCGAGCAACGTCTTCATTGTTCCAATAAATGAATTTATAAACATAAATTTTGTAAAAATGCCTACAACAGAATTTATTAAGGAATAATATTTTCAAAAAATATAAACCAGTGAAAAATTCGTTTTACATTGATCCATACAAGGAAAATATTATTGAAATATTAAGATACTTAATGTATATAATAGTTTCTCTGATAATATCTTTAATAAGAAGTTTAAAACATTAAGCAACGTCTTCATTGGTCACCAATGATTACCAAAACATTAGCTTTACAAACGTGTTCTATAACACACCCAATTAACGATTTCGATAAACGTTTTATATTTTCAATATGCCCTCGAATATGGTACACGGTTAATTTGTAAAAATGCCTACAAAAGAATTTATTTAGTAATAATATTTCCAAAAAATATAAACCAGTGCAAAATTCGTTTTACATTGATCCATACAAGGAAAATATTATTGAAAAAATAAAAATACTAAATGTATATAATAGTTATTCTGATAATATCTTTAATAAGAAGTTTAAAACATCGAGCAACGTCTTCATTGTTCCAATGAATGAATTTTACCATTGAATACAAAAACATCCGTTTTACATATGTGTTTTCTTTCACGTCTAAGGACCGAATTTGGTACACGGTTAATTTGTAAAAATGCCTACAAAAGAATTTATTTAGTAATAATATTTCCAAAAAATATAAACCAGTGCAAAATTCGTTTTACATTGATCCATACAAGGAAAATATTATTGAAATATATAAATACTAAATGTATATAATAATTCCTCTGATAATATCTTTAATAAGAAGTTTAAACCATCGAGCAACGTCTTCATTGTTCCAATAAATGAATTCATAAACATTAAATTTGTAAAAAGGCCTACAAAAGAATTTAATAAGGAATAATATTTTCGAAAAATATGAACCAGTTGAAAATTCGTTTTACATTGATCCATACATGGAAAATATTATTGAAAAATAAA